AACAGCCCGACACCGTTGGCCCTGTGTCGAGGCGCATGCCTAGGCGAAGCGTTTCACTATTTTGAACTTCCACTGCCATGACTCTCACCTTTGCGGCAGTGCCGCATCATTCCTGCCCGGGGAGCATGTGTTTCTTCCGTTTGTGAGTCATCCTGGGGCGCACCACATGACGACACGGCGCAGTTGCGATTAAGGGTGCCAGGGATCCCGAGTCACGGCGAAGGATGCAGCAATATCGATGGTGGACTGGGAGTTTTCTTCCGCAGACCGACAAGGGCGCACAACGCTCTGACGGAGGCTAAGATACTCACCACAAGAAGATAGAATTCATATGGTCAAGCCACATCTCAAACCGGGTCGAGCTCATGTATTCGAGATGGATTGGACTGCGCAATTTCAACAAAAACGTGATCTTGCAATGATGGCCGTCGACACGTCTTTTGTCCCCTGGATGCGTGCTCAGCGGCACAAACGTCGTAAAGTGTATCTGCTCTCCGTCTGTTTGCACGGCAGCACTGAAATTACTGCGCATGCCCTCGTTCCAGAATACGAGGCAGTACCACCCCGGCCCAAATGCACTGGCTCAGGCTTATATAGGGCTAAGATTCCTTGCAAGGCAGCCTGCAAGGCTCGAAATTTCTGCCGTTGGCAGATTCAAAGATTTGACCAGCCTGGCCCTAAGCACGTCCTCTTTCCATTTCCAGCTGCTGCAAGATACTCGTGCAAATACAAGGCCGTATAAGACTTCTCTACGGCAAGAGAATGAAGTCCAAGGAGAGTGAAAGACGTACCTGTAAACATTCAAAGACAAGACGCCCCCTTTCAATAACCTGCTGTCTCTCGCCCTATCCAAAGTGTCAAGCAGCTGACTTTGTGGAAAGAGCAATCATGCGGAAAATGGCTCAGGCTGCCTCAGGGCCCTGAGCAGTCGCTCTTGCGATCTGGCTGAAGTTCAGCAGCCAGAAAGGGAAGACACAGACTAAAGAATACAGTCTGCCTACGTTGTCGAGACATGCCTCAACTTACGTTCAGGGCCTGTCCTTGAGATAGACTGGACTCCAGTATTGCAACAAAATAAAAAAAGAAGTTGTCTTGCAATTATGGTCGTCAATAAGTCGTTTTATCTCTTGAACGGGCGCTCAGTGGCACAGACACTGCCTGGTTGGAGGGCAACACTGAAATCACTGGGGCCCTATGCCCTAATTCCAGAGCACGAGTCTGTACCACCTCGGCACAGGTGCAGCAGCGCAGGCCCAAAATTGAAGTCCACTAAGGCTCCGTGCAAGACTTGCAAGGTTTCTTAAAAACGCGCCGTTGGCAAAGAGGCTGGACGGTGCTTCTCTACGGCAAGAGAATGAAGTCTAAGGAGAGTGAAAGACGTACCCGTAAACAGTCAAACACAAGACGCCCCCTTTCAATAACCTGCTGTCTAGCTGACTTTGTGGAAAGAGCAATCATGCGGAAAATGGCTCAGGCTGCCTCAGGGCCCTGAGCAGTCGCTCTTGCGATCTGGCTGAAGTTCAGCAGCCAGAAAGGGAAGACACAGACTAAAGAATAAAGGCTGCCTCCGTTGTCGAGACATGCCTCAACTTACATTCAGGGCCTGTCCTTGAGATAGACAGGACTGCAGTATTGCAACAAAATAAAAAAAGTTGTCTTGCAATTATGGTCGTCAATAAGTTTTTATCTCTTGAACGAGCGCTCCGTGGCACAGACACTGCCTGTTTGGAGGGCAACACTGAAATCACTGGGGCCCTATGCCCTAATTCCAGAGCACGAGTCTGTACCACCTCGGCACAGGTGCAGCAGCGCAGGCCCAAAATTGAAGTCCACTAAGGCTCCGTGCAAGACTTGCAAGGTTTCTTAAAAACGCGCCGTTGGCAAAGAGGCTGGACAGTGCTTCTCTACGGCAAGAGAATGAAGCCTAAGGAGAGTGAAAGACGTACCTGTAAACATTCAAAGACAAGACGCCCCCTTTCAATAACCTGCTGTCTCTCGCCCTATCCAAAATGTCAAGCAGCTGACTGTGTGGAAAGAGCAATCATGCGGAAAATGGCTCAGGCTGCCTCAGGGCCCTGAGCAGTCGCTCTTGCGATCTGGCTGAAGTTCAGCAGCCAGAAAGGGAAGACACAGACTAAAGAATACAGTCTGCCTACATTTACAAAGGGCCTTAAGCAGTTCCACTGGCCGATGCTCGAAGGTGCACAGCGAGTGAATGTCATTACACTGGAGAATCAAAGGGCCAAGCCGCCCATCTCCAGAGAAAAGACAATTGGCCAGCGCGCTTTCTTGGCAGGACCGCCTCGTTGGTTCTTCGCCTGTCTTGCGCAATGTATGCCTTGAGCTGATCTGGAGAACGCTCGACAGCCTTCAGGGGTGCAAAGCACGAGCAGGCAGGTCAGGATTCAGCTCGCCAATGATCCAAAGTGACAGACAGCTCGCGCATGAATTTAACTACACTTGTAATATGCATACAGACATGAAGTTGCATTGGTGTGAGGTCTGTCAAACTGCTCTGTGAAGACCCCTCTGTCCTTCATGAAGCCCAGCATATTTTCCAAGTGATGGTCATGCATAAGGCGATTTGGCTGCAGAGCTTCTCCAATGTTCCCATTCGGACAGGTGCTTGAAAAGTAGGAGTGGCGCGATTCTTCTGACCCAACCTTTGCGGAAGCCCAGTTGATGGTCTCTGGGTCAGCGTTACGTTGGACTGCGAGACAAGCATCCAGCTTGGCGGCACTTCGGAGTCCCAGGACAAGTAAGCCTCCGGCTGAGATGTCGGCGAGACCTGGTTCAGCGCATCAACATCCATTGCGTCAGCTTCTGGTTTGCTGGGCGGCGGAAGTCTGCTCATCGCATCGAAGTATAGCATCTCCTCTGAAGAGTTCATACTGTGCGGCCTGTCGCGTAAGCAAAGGCAACGTCTTGAGCCAGAAGGCAACAAGAGCTACAATGTCATGCCTGAGGAATGCAGATTTATGTACACCATGTGTGACCAAGTGTCCGATCACGCGCCCTGCTAATGTAAGGTCTCTGCTCTAGCCAAGTAAGACCCAGCGGACACGTGAATTTGTGCGCCTACAATAGCATGCGGGAGACATCCTGGCAGAAACAAACTGGACTGTGATGATCTCCGTAAGCAAGAGAGCAAGAGGCCAAGCCCCTGTGCAACAGCAGCAGCAGCAGCAGCAGCAGCAGTTGCCAAGGTGATCCGCATGGTTTCCGGTGTGCTACATTGCTACTGCTACACCTGTCGAGTTTGAGTTTGCATTTCTAGCAATAGGTGTTGCCGCATACCTCTTCGGGTAATTCTTCCATGATTTCGCATGTGTTTGCGTGTGCCTGTGTGCTTATTGCTTCCCCAGTTGCAGCAGTTGTAAGCTCTTCTGCGCAGTGACAAATAGCTTTGCCAGCGACTTGGCGGAGTGTCCGACAGTTCTTGCTTTGGTGCGGGCATGGCACGGCTCCTCAGGCTCCTGAGAAAGTCCGAACTGTGTAGTTGCAGGCCGCTGCCCGCGGTCTCAGCGGTCTCGGCTCCGCCCGTGGCACTTTCTTCGCAGCGAGCTGTCCAGCTGGGAGCAGAAGAAATCCCAATTTACGTTGCGTGCGGACGCGGCTTGCCGCGCTGAGCAGATGGTCCCCTGTGCATGGCCTGGCTCCCACGAACAGGGGCAGCTGCCTGCCACACAGAGGAAAGTTTTTTTGCCGATACGAAAAAAACCGGAGGGCATGAAACAAGTCGTTGGTAGAATGGCGTGCTGGATGGACCCGCTCCGCCTTGAAGACATGCAGGTCATCCAAGGCCAGGCACTTTTTGCCATGTTCCGAAAGGCTCGCCGGAGGACCAGTGCAAGTCTGTGGCCTTGCTTCATGACCAATGCACCCTGCCCATCCCATCTCTCTTTTTGCGATGTGTTTCCGCTGGCGCACTTGCCGAGCAGGGGAGGAGTCACGGCACTTGAGGGAGAAGCGACAGCAGCGCCTAAACTCGTCCCTCTCTTTGGGCTGTAAAGCTCATGGCAATGAGTTGGTCTTTTCCGAGCAGCTGCCAGACTTTCTATACGTGCGGTTGCTCCTGGCCATTCGAAAGTCCCTCCGTATCTATCGTCATGCGGTTCCCTCGCTTGTTTTTGTGAGCAGCGGAAAGAAGCGCACCGCCACAACGGTTTCAAACGTCAGAAGGAGATTCAACGCTTTTACAGGTTCTTTTCTGCTCGCAAACGGCACTTTGCACTCTTCTGAAATTTCTAACCGTTGCAACCGTGCCATGCGCAACCAGGTTTCCGTCCAGGATGCCTTGGGCAGTTCAAAAACATCAGCACCGCCACGTTTTCGTTACGGTTCCTACCGCTACGTCCGCAACTGGAGCTGTGCAAGTTCACATTTAATTGCCTCAGCCTCTAAGTCGAGCAAGCGGCTGGTTTCCTATGCTTTGTGTTGCCAATGACCTCATGGATGTGAAATGCGGCTTTTCATACAAGGCATAGCTCTTTCTTTCTGGGTCATCTGAAGCAGAGTTTCGCGGCAGTCTTGCGCCGCTCTGGCACCGCATAACTCACTGCAACTTGTAGCAGCCCACAGTTGCCAATAGCTCACAGAAAGTTCGCATCAAGGAGCAGTTTAAGGTAATTAGAGGCAACACTCTTCCTCGCATCGGAACAGCACGTGGAAAAGCATCTCCAATGTTGCCAACATGTGAACGCTGATGCGACAGCGCTCCCCAGACACCACGGTGCGAGGACCTCTCAACTGAAGCAGTCATCATCGTTGTCCACGGAGAAGAGAGCCCAACAGCCGGCTTTGCATGTACGTGCCTGCACTGAGGAGGCTTCAGCTACTCTCATCCTGCTTCTTCTCACGACCTTGTCCGTGGGCTGGATGTTATACCAAACAGGGGCTCCGCTGCAGCTTTGCCAGATTCTTGCTGTATCTCAGGCTGGTTGCCGACCAATTTCCTACCTGCAGATGTGAATCGTCCACGGAAGAGGGAATGCAAGGAGCTACCCTGCCCAGGATCGCTCAAGCTGGTAGCCCAGCTCAACTGCGGCCGCATCGAACATCGAGAAGCTGCGCAGCATGGGGAACGGCTCCTGCACATCACGTGTTGTTTGGCTCGCTTAGCACCTTCGGGGTGCTTCCAAATTTCCCCTGTCAACTCTGATCTTCTAGTACGCGTTACCATTTCAAATCAATTCAAGTGAAGGGGCAACTAATGCCAATCTACGTTCATTGGCTGCTACTCCGTTTGTGTCCTCCCCGTCAAATACTGTTCTGCGTCCACCCAAGGCTTGAACGTAATGATTTGCCCGCCATCTTGCTGGGTCCATCCCATGACTCTCTTGCATCATTGGCCCGGCAAACTCGCGGGACTGCCCGCTTGGACATGGGAACGGGCTCTTCAGCAAGTTTGAATGCAGCGGGGCTTCATGGCGGACAATTAGCGTGGTGAGCGCCACATCATCAATCAGCGACGGCTTGGCAATAATCACAAATTCTTTAGCACTGTTGTGCTTTTCCGGGCGCACCTCGGGATCGTTGTGGTATGGGAAGTGCACAAACCTGGGTTGCAGCGGAGTCTAGCAAAGCTTGCGCGCTGACATCTTTGTGCAGACACCTTCAGACACTGCTGAAGATCTGAGTGTCTCGCAAATTGCTGTCTGCTGCTACCTGCAGAGTCACAGTAGCAGCGGCGGTTTGCAATGGCAGTAGCAGTAGCAGTGGTAGCAGTAAAAATAAAACAGGTCCCGAATTATTTGGTTAATATTTGTGTGTTTTGGTGTAACGTGTTTTGTTTTTTCCTTTTTGATGGCAACTGTGAGGATGCTCCATGCCAGAGTGCGATTTTGACTTCAAATGTGAGGACTTTCCGGGAGGAGGGACCCCACGCCAGAGCTCAATTTTGAGGGAAGATGCTGGGGCAGAACTGCGAAGATGTTCCCTTCCCCTTCTGCAAACATGGTGATGACATGATTGTTGAACCGCAAGCATGGATAGCCTTCAAAAATGGGAGGGGCGTTGGGGATCCGCACAAGCTTCCCTTGCTGCAAACGGTGAAGACATGAGTTTTTTCATTGCAAGCGTGGATTCCCTTAACAAAAGCGGGTTGGGCAGGGCGCAGCACTCGCATTTGCAAACAAAATGATCCACAACCTTCCCCTACTTGGCGATGACATGATATTTTACCGTATGCATGGCTTTTTGAAGGCCATCCATGCTTG